TCTCAGGTTCACGAGACCTACCTATGGGGAAAATTTCAGATTGTAATTTCCTAATTCGAGTTATGTACAAATACTTTGCTAGAAATTCACTAAAATAGTATTAACTTGGGAAGAACAGCACATAAAGATGAATCCTTATAAGCTTTTTCTTGTCTTGTTGTGATCTACTTATGAATAAAATATCAGTTCGATTGGTGAGTCATGTTTTCAGACTTTCTCCTGTTATTTCATTCATTCTCTGAATAAATTCTACAAATACTATGGATCCTTTTTTGCTTGATCCATGATGTATGTAGAAAAATATCGAAAAATAAACATCTTAACCTTCATTTTCAATAGCAAACAAAACACTTTTTTTAATGCTATTTTCATCTTCTCTGAATGAAACATGACACTAAAATTTCTGTTTGTATGTCACGATTATTGAGAGATACTCAATCGACTATATATTTGTCATAAGTCGATTTAAATCTTACGTTGATGACCGGATGTTTTTTCTAAATCTTCAAGTGCTTGTCGACATAATGGTACAGCAACTTCATATCGACCTTGTGATGCATATTGAATAACTAAATTATGTAAAGTTTTCAATCTTGCTGGTATTTCATAGCCACTTGATGAAATAAATGAACCACTAGCTGAATGTGATGGTGTCATCATCAAATCACCATAAGCATCAAATCGTTTTGATTGATTACCTCCAGTTGTATCATCATCATCATTTGGAAATAAGTCATTAACAAGATCTGTTGTTTGTTCTGAAGATGATATATTTGTTGATGATGAATTTTTATCTAATGTTAAATTATTCTCATTTGAATCATATTGTTTAACATCTTTAAGAAATTTTAAATGTTCAAGTTCAACAGAATATGCAGCATTTGATTGTTCACAATCATGTAATTTTTTTTGTGATGCTGCTAATTCATCTCTTAACCAAGCATTTTCTTGACATAAACGTTTTACTTGTGAACGTAATTTATGTTTTTCAGCTTCAAGATTTTGAAGATGATTTCCTAATTGCATCATAACTTGAGCTTCACCGATACCTTATAAAATAAAATTATTATGATTTTTAAATGTCTTCAATATAAAATTTACCTAATTCAATCATATCCATAGATTTTCTTAATAAACCAGCTTTTTCTTCAATTTTATTTCTATCTATTGATGATGATTGCATTGATTCAAGAATATTTTCAAGCATTTTTCCATGTTCATTTTTTAAGGCTTCAAGTCCTTGAATAACGATTTTTGTTGATTGAAGAATATCTTCTTGACTCATAATCACAATCTATTTTCTAATCGGAATGATCAAAATTAATATATAATTCTAAAAGAAAATAAGAAAAGAAGCATATAAAATATAATCAATCATTCGTTTGCCATTCTTTTTTCTTTGCTTTTACACATGGGTATCCTCGATTTACTGTTTCTCAATAATGTCGAAGAGAATATTTCACTTTCCTCCAATACCTATCAACATTCGCTCATTTACCAAACGGCAACAGCTGTAACAATTATCATCAATCGATTGATAAGAAAACGTCTCACTCCCACTGAGCAAGACAATACAAAAAAATATATTTTTCAATACATTAAAAAGACATAACGATATATAAATCAAACTGGTTCGAAATCATACGAATAATCTTATCAGAATATGAGCAAAAAGAAGAAAGTGAGAAAATGAACGAGGTGCGTGTCAACTATTTCTTTATAACTCACAATAGTGTGACCTTTCCTCTTTTCCTTTCTTCTACCCTCTATAGTCTTGGGTTTATTCGAACGCACAGAATAAAAGGAATTGGACTAAGAGGAAAAAAAGAAATAAGAGGGTGGTACTGCACTGTGAATATAATCATTCGAATAATACAAAAGAAATAAAGAATATAAAAATAGAATGCTACTCTCTTACAAACTGTGAAACAAGGATAGTAAAATCAACAATGAATAAGCAAGGACGATTTTTATTTGACGAATGCAAACTAAAATAATCTTGAAAAGCATTTCACTGCTTTTTTTTTTTATTGAAGGATTTTAACACTCGTTGAAGATTATGCGTCGTTAATGTGATCAGCATATCCAGAAAAATATTTTTTTAACGAATGACTAATTTTACCTGTCTATCAAACGCAAACATGACCGAAATCGATTTGAGAAAAAGAAAGAGAAAAAAAAAGAAAGAATACATATAGAAATAATGAGTCATTGAACGAAGCTGCTGGCTTGACAATCAATGAGTGAGAGGGAGAGAGAGAGAGAGAGCTAACATAGGACGAGAACAGCAAACAGTTATTTTTTCAATGGTTAATTGTTAAAACCATATAGAGTATGTCCTATACTTTTATATAGAAAAGCATAAACTTTAGATAATAGAGTTTTTATTTTCTGTTTGGATTAATAGTAGAAATAGGATTTAAGAATCTTTTCATTAGATATACAAGTATAATGTCTTAATAGATGGCGTGACAAGTAAACTGAATTAAACTGTTTTAAGAAAACTATAATTATCATAGTATATGGTTTAAAGAATTTTCTAGGTGCTCTCACACAAATAATAATACATAAGTAAAAATTCAGTGCTAAATTGGAATAATATGTATTGTACAATAGAATTCTTCTATACAAGATTAGCTTTCTCTTTCTGATAAGAGATATCGGCGTTTTCAAGAGCTAATATATTAAAACAACAGATGAAATCAAGAGGATAAGTGCAGCACCTAAGCGATAAATTCTACTACAAGATTCTGTGGTACTCATGTATTTATATTCGAAATAAGACTTGAAATTAAAACGATAGTCTTAAGTAAGAATCATTCTATTTTAATTTGACTTTTTCAATTCAGAAAAGACTATTTTTCGAAAATGACGGTCTTTTCTATAAAATTTGACTAACGGTAGCTGGAATCGAAGAATCTGAATCTCTAATTGATTCTTCGAAATTCTTGAGTTAGATTTTTCTGACGAAGGAAAGCATATTTCAAATAAATAATTGATAGTTTTCAAACATTAGTAAACAAGAGGAAATAGACTTTCGCTGATCGGAAAAATCGAGCTCAATAATATTGAAAAATTGATTATACATTCGGATTCTTCGACTCTGAAAGTTTTTAGTCGAATTTTATAAAATAAATCATTATTTTCGAAACATAACCTTGTCTGAATTGAAAAAAATCGAATTAAAATAATGTGACTTTCATTGATAGCTATCACCTTGATTTCTAGTCCAATTCCAATTATGTACCAGCACTGCAGCATCTTCATTACCAAAAGATGCTGAAAGTTGTTGAGGTTTCAAATTTGCACTTTTCCCTTTGAATGAAACTGATGAACAAATAAAACAATTGATCAAACTCAATTTTCTATTCTTATATAGATTAATGGTCAATTTAATATATACTTCTAGAAACAAATATTTGTACGCTAAACTTCCTAACATCTTCCATCTGGTTGGTATATTGACTTATCAGTATTTGTTGATAAATATATCAAAAAATTTTAATTATACCCACTTCCTCATATTATCAGAAACAATAGCAGTACACATTTTTTTTGTTATCAAGTACTTATACCACTTGTATGAGTAATTAACCACCTTTCAGTGATCATATCACTATTATGGAGTGTGAGTGTATATAATCATTAAACAAAAAAAAATACGCACTATATTTATTTGAAGATACATAAAATACAATTTTTCTAAGTACAAAAATGTGGTTACAAAGAAAAAGATTTGATATATTTATTAGCAAATGATGATATGTTGAGATTGACAAGATCAAGAATGTTATAGGGTTTAACGCAATGTCCAAATTGTACTTATAACATATTTTAATAAACCACAAAAAAAAGACGTAAGTAGGTACTTTGCGAAAATCTGAAGACAAGCGTGTGTTCACTGCAGTCGGAATACTTTTGGTTGTGAATGTGAGATAGGCGTTTTCAATGGTACATATATTAGACTATAAAATTATATGAAAAACGGTAAAAGTCACTCTCATAGGCAACTGTCACATATAATGAGAGAAATTCTATTTGAAAATACTATAGACGAAATGGATTATGTCATTAGTTTTCGATGAAAAAATATTGCTATTCTTGGATTGTTTTTTAATCACAGCTTACATTGATGAAGAACATTCGTTTCTATTATGCTTCGAATAAAATACAAATTCATTTATTCGTTATTATCTTTCTATGTAACTACAAAAAGAAGAAAAACTTCGTCGACTGAAAATGTTATTTTTACTTGAGTTTGATATTATTGCAAGGTTTTGCGAATAGTAGATTCGTAGTGAATGTACCAAGTAGTAAAAGCTGATTCTGTTACATTGGAATCAAATAGCGTCATTAAAATCAATAAAACCACTTGGAACCTGATATTTTGTCTTCGGTAATTACCTGAGGACATCTCAAACCACTTTTGTTTACAACGTTGCAGCTCTATTAGATTCGACCAAGAATATTAATCACTGCGATGACAACAAAGTATTTCGATTAGAAAGAGTTTATTTTATATTTTGTTCAGTGATATGGAAATAAAACAATAGCTACAGGTATTTCAAAACAGTTCGTGCAAGATACTGAGATAAGTGTAGATGAATGGCTTCCGATAAATGAAGGCGTAAATGATTCCTGTTGGAGTGTACTTTATTATCTTCTTGAATGGCAATCAAGATATGAAAAATATTTAGCATTATACTATGCAAAAATGGATGAAATAAGCAAATCTGATTCTATACTCGATATGGTACTGCTTGGCAATTCAATACTAAAATTTAGTGAAAATGCATGTTGTCATTATCTGCAATATGTTTAACTTCAAGTACTGCTTCACCAACGAATTAATCTCGAACATTCTTATCATAATCATTTTCTTATTGAATATGATTCTGTTTTAGATAGAATTTTCTTTAAAATTTACCCAATTAAATAAAAAAAAAAAACAAGATTCTTTTTTATTATTGCTTCAAAAAGAAAATTTTTTTCATTTAATCTTATTCATCTCGAGATACAAAAATCCAATCTGATTCACCGTTGTCTGAGTGATTTATTGCATCTGTACTCGTAGCACGTTCTGGATTCGGATTACTAGATTCTATTGTGCCGAATTTAATATCACACGCCGTAATGTATCGATGCCATTTTCCACAATCATGATACAATACTAAGTTTTGGTTGACTACAGCAAATAATTGAGGTCCTTGGACACTTATAGTTTTAAAGTAGATGGCGCCTGGATAGCCAGAACCGGTACGACCCATCTCCTTTTTTAGTTCTTCCCACGACCTTTCGATGCCAAGTGCACGTTTTGGCATTGAATCGATCGCGCTTATGTATGAGAATTCACAGGTATCCATCGATAAACTATATTGAAATAAATTGGTAGGTATGGTAGTGCACACGTTGCTTTGACTTTTTTGTCTAAAATGGATCAAACGAAATAACAGAAAGAATTGCCTTTTTATCTTGATATTCAAGTATGTTGACAAAAAATAACAAAAAAAAAACAAAGCGAGAATACAATGTTTGTTCGAAGCATATCTTATTTATATATGCACTATTGATTATTATTTATTGCAAATAACACTCTCAGTGGACAACACATGCCATCATCATCCATGGTGTCAAACTTTATGTCTTACGCAGTGATATAACGATGCCATTTGCCCTCATCATGATAGTAGACACTAGTTTCACTAGTACCGACAGTAAACAATGGCGGACCTTCTACACTAATAGTAAAATAGTGAGTATCATCAGATAAGCCAAGTCCTTATCGGCCTAATTTTGCGCATAACACATCCCATGACTGTTCGACGCCTAAAACAGTATTTTTAGTGTTGTCTATTTTTCCAATATTAGTGAACTGACAAGTATCCATATCGCTTTCTTGGAATAGAACACTGTATACAGTCACACGGGATAAGACTGTTTATGAATGCATCAGAAAAACAAACTCATTTTTCTCTCGTTATCCGGAACGGCAATTGTAAACGAAAAATGGCAATTTTTTTCTAATGATTTTAGACGCTTTTGCGGCAGTTTGTGACTATCTCAGTAATAAGACAGACAAATTATGACTGGTCACAGACACTAATTTTTCATTTTTCTTTCTTATGGTATGGCATTACCTCATGATACTTATTTTGAATTTACTTGTGAAAGAAAACTTTATAAGAGAAATATTTGTACCTTTGCAAAAAAACGTGTTCCTTTACTTCCTTGGCAATGACTAATATTAGATGTTTGTTTCGATCTTGAAAGAAAAAGATTCTATTGGTTATACTGACGTATTTATGTTGGAAGAAACTACATAGAAAAAAAAATTTTTTAAGAGAGGAAAAGTAATGATTCATTTTGATTATCGCACATATCACTTGAAAATCTTTACTATGAAGTCTATGATGGAAAAAATTGAATAGCTTACAAGATAATAACAACTGTCATGTATGAACGTCTTTGTATATAAATACTTAAATAGATGTTTGCAAAAAATAGTTTCAGAAATTGATGACTCTTTCGTAGTTTATTTGCATCAACACTATTAAATTTTGTTCACTAAAAATTAATAATATCTTTAATGTGAGTATGAACATCTTATTTCATATTACAACTTAATGAATATATAAAATAGGATGAAGAAAAATTGTAAAAAAGAATAAAAATAAAACAAGTGTATAGATTATCAAGTTTGGTAATAGTGTTCTACAATCGGGTTCAAAGCATGGGTTCGAGTGCAAACTTGTCGAGTTGGTTCGAGTGTTGAATATCAAAAATAATGTCGAATCGGATTCAAGCGTGAGATCACACCCGGCTCTGGCCTAGTGTAGAATCATCAGAACTGACATTAAAAGCTCATAATGATGATCGAGAGAAAAAAAGTAAAACGTAATGATATAATAGTAGATGGTGTATTAACAGAGTTCGTTTCAAATGAAAATTCATCTAAAGATGAACAAAATATTCATGTATATATATATATATTCATCAGTATCATGTTTTCCATTGTGAATCACCCGATTCATCTATGTTTTTCTTCGAAATAATTAGATGACTTTTCTTTGTTATACTTAATTGATAAAGTTAAAATAGCAGCATATTTTATCATATGAAACAAAAGTTTGAAAAGAATGCTGACTTTGAAAATATCTCCCAAACGTTGATTATTTTTGGTCGGTTACCAAGTGTAGTGATTTGAGTACCGATGCAGAAAGTGGGGTACTCACACAGGATACTACTAGATAATTTATGTATGATTTTCGCATAAATATATATTATTTGATTGAATTATTGTTCTGTTCGTATTTATAAATTTATTACTCAAACGTTCTTTTTTTTGTTGTTGAAGTATAAACATTTTAATTTAATACGATAAATATAGAGGAAGAATATTGTTGTTCTATAATATAAAGATGAATGTTTTTTTTATGAACTTTAGTCATTTCTTAGACGTATTCAGGGTCCTTTTTTAAAGTTAATATTCCACTTTCGTAATATTCGATTCCTATTTCATGAAAAAAATTGTACAAGTATTTCAATTAATAAATTTTAGCAATTAAAATTTTCATTCAAGTATAACAAAATTCAACAAAACTCCTACTGAGTAAATCACATACGAGATATTTATGTCATGTATTTCTGTGTCTAGCACAAACTACTTCAATTCAATCCGGTAGAAATATTTTGGGAATCAATGGGCTAATACAAAAAAAAAATGCTTCAGTATGAAATATAATAAAAGATATATATATATGTAAGAATTGACAAAACAAAATGACATGAGTAAAAAGGATATAATATTTTTATTATAAATTCATGAGGAATAACGATGATGATTTAATGGAAATGGACAATTTTTATAAATCAATAGTTCACATATAATATGACAATGATTGTAATAATGTTTAATGCTTTTTTTCTCTCTTGTTTTACATCATTCTTTATTTATTATTTCAACTAAACTATTTGCAATAAGTAATGAATGCTATCTCATGCTATTTTTTTTATTAATGAAATCATATATTGTCTAATGAATTTATACTTTTTCTTTTTTTGCTGCTCGAGTAGGCAGAACTATTACATCTACTAATTCCTCTTTTGTATCTTATATTAATAAATGTTTCTTTAATTTTTGATACATTGTGTAAATTTCTTTTTTTTCTAATGCTAAACACAATAGATAATGATTAAGCCGATTAATTGAAGAACATAAATCGTCTTCAATAAAATCAATGAACATATGTTTGTTAATTCCTTTTACTTTTCTTGTTATTCTATCTTGTGATGTATAAATAATTGTAGAAAGCATTTAATCATCAACAGCATCACTTAGTTTAAAGCATAAAACTATTAAGATTTAAAATAATAATATTATACTATCTTTTTGCATGTTATTTTTAATTCTCAATACAAATCTGTATTTTTTTTTATTGCATTTTATATTCAAACATGGTCCGTCTTAAACAATTTTAAGTATATATAGTGCATAAACTCTGCTATACAGTTATATTACCATCTTAAACCAATTTTCTTAACTTTTAATACACGAATTGAAAATAAAAATGACGCCAGAAGTGTCGTACATTATGGGTATTGATACTCATTGACATATGCTAAGCTGTGTTTTAATTTGAGTTCATAATGCTTCTTACATATGAAATAAGATCATGTGTTCAGAATTTTCTTTGTTCTAAATTATCTTCAGATATATTTCACAATTTTCGTCCGTATATATATATATCTATAACTTCTTATAAAATAATAAGCATTGCAATAGAACACTAGAAGCTTATTTTGTTTGTCATGCGTAATTCAAACCACAAAAACATAAATAAAATAGTTTAGCACTTGGGTTTTTAATACGATGACAACTAGCTGATGAAAATTTTCCAATCTAAGGAATATCTAATTTTAGCTTAAAAGTAATTTGTTTTTAGAGACGTAGATCATCACTGGAGGCACGAGACGCTGCGTGAACAATTTTCAAAATCAGGAAGGCGTTATGTAGTCGAATTTCACAAGGAAAGGGCTAGGGCGTCATGCTCCACACGTTCTTGTTTGTTTGTTTATTTATAAATTTTGGTTTTACATGTGAGGTTTCTTCTTAGAATTCAACGTAAATCATTAAAAAAAAAGACTTTTACTCTGTTATAAAATGAAAACCAAAAAAAAAATAAATAGATATTCTTATACGATATCTATTTGAATATTTTTTTTTCTCTATTAAAATATATTCGAATACAATCAAACAATAGTTAATCAATGTACAAAAGAACGAAACGTTTAATTCTTTAATTATGCCATTTAAGAAGAAATATGCCGCGCATCAAGTCATTTTTATCGGAATGTACTCAGCAGAAACATTTGATCGACACATTATATCTGATTATTTATTAAAATGGGTTTTTTTTTTTTGTCTTAGTGTAACAAAATTTCTCCTGACCAATTACATTTATAGATCTATTCTTTCTGTATATGAAAATAAGAAAGAAAGAAAGACTATTTCGTGACTCGACAAGTGGTCTCACAACTACCAGATGGCCAACGAAGAAACAAAGAGCAAACTCTACTCAAAATAATAACTGTTGTTCTTCTCGTGAGTAACTTTTCACATCAAAAAAAAAAAAAAACGATATACGAAAGTAAGGTGCGTCATCGCCATCCGATTACCATCTGTTATCTTGTCTAATCGATCAGTTCAACATACAATGTTGAGTGACCCAGTTCCGCCTTCCATTTTTTTAATGTTCTCTTGAGAAATGTACGCATACATTACTACTCTTTTTTTTTTCACGTCAAAATTAAAAAAAATAACGAGAAAGACAAAGTATCGAGGGACTCATCATTGTAGTCTATTGCATTACAGGTAAATTGATCGATGAGAATACTTTCTCGTTTGTTTTCTTCTTTCCATCTGGTCATAAATACATATAAAGACAAACGAGAAAAAGAATATTGTTTTTTTTGTTTCCTTTTTTTTTTTTTAATTCATTGCTTGAAGCTATTCGCCGACAAAATGATTGACAATCTTTTTGATTCGTTTTCTAACTAACACCGAATGTCAACAAAACCTATAACTAAATCTTATGCGTCTTATCACAACAAGCAGAGCATTACCAGAGAGAATGACACATGCGAAAAAAAAAAAGAAAAAAGGAGGGTAATCAATACGGTCGAACAATTATGATAAGCTATAGTTGTATGTTCTGCTCTTCAAGTGTCATCTGAGAATACTCTCACAAACGGACAATGTCATATAGACATAGCAACAGTAGTATTGAATCGATGCGTGACGTGACAAATATGAATGAATGCG